GTAGATCATCAAACCTCATTAAAACTTTCTAAGAAATTTGTAATTCTTTGCTTTTGAAGATCTGGCTTTGAAACTTCCTCAATAGTTGCTCCATTGTGAACTGCTTTAACTACCGGTGAGGATCTCTGAATTTTCAGTCTATTCCTCATTGAAGGACGCAAGGTGCCTTCAGAAATAAGGCTAATCTCCTCCCATTTTCTGTTAAGGTCCCTTTGCCTCACTTTCCCACCACTTGTCTTCCTGCTCCCCCATATATTGCCTCATTCTGACTGCTCCAGGACAATTGCTCTTGAGCCTCTCTTCTTGGCTACAGCACATAAACTGTACAGTTAGAATGTTTATCGTATGTGGTTAGTGGAAGCAAATGGATGGCTAACCCTTTGGCATTGTCCACTGTGGAAGCATCAAACATCTAGAGGAGCTGATTGACTTTTCCCCATCCACCTTAGTCCCTGTCACACCTACAATGGCAAAGTTACACAGCTTTCTGCTTGCCCTGGGCTCAGTATGCTCCTACCATCTTCACCCTCTACAGGGCACTGTGTACCCTCTTTGCATGCCAAGAGAAAACCAATCTAAAATATTTAAAGCAATTACAACGACTTGTTGCTGTCTACCTTACCTGTCCATGGGGAGGCAGTGGCCTAGTGGTATTATCATTAGACTGTTAATCCAGAGACCCAGATAACGTTCTGGGGACCTAGGTTCGAATCCCGCTAGGGCAGATGGTGGAATTTGAATTCAGTAAAATATCTGGAATTGAGAATCTAATGATGACCGTGAATCCATTGTCAATTGTCAGAAAAACCCATCTGGTTCACAGTTTCCTTCCCTAAAGGACATTAGTCATCCTTACCTGGTCTGGCCTACATGTAATTCTAGACCCACAGCAACGTGGTTGACTGTAAACTGCCCTCTGGGCAATAAATGCTGACTGGCCAGTGACACCTCATCCTGTGAATGAATAAAGAAAAAAAAACAAACCTGTCTGTTTCAAAGTTAGAAGTCATAAGTCATACAACTCCAGGCTGACAAAGGATCACTTCTCCATAAACTTGTGATTTCAAGTAAACCTGCTGGTCTATAATCTGGTGCCGTGTGACTTCTGACTTTGTCCACCCCAGTCCAACACCGGCACCTCCACATCACACCTGTCAGTTGTCTTTGATAGTGAGGTTAGTACAGTTGTCTTGCCTGAGTCTTAACAGATAGGACATGAAAAAAAATAACAAATAAAGTTTTCACCTCCCCTGATCTTTTCAAATGTTTGAATGTCTTGCGGCCAGGACCTGCTGTCATCAACATGCTAAGAGCCTTCACCAGCTCTGTCATGTACATCATCTCACTGCACGTGAAGACTGATCCTTTGATGAGGCAACCAAAATCCATCACTAGGCCTCCAGCTCATTGAAAGGGCCTTTTGATCCTCCTTCAGCAAGTTAAAAGTCCTCTTGTAGGCATCCTTTTTATCTTGCATTATAAGTCATCAGTAGCAATGAGAAAGGTACTAATACTTTCAACTGCTTTGCATTCTGCTCGGGCAAATTAAAATTTCTCACTGATCAGTGCTGAGTGTTCAATCAATTTGCGCCAATTGCTTGGATTACTTCCTGCAGTAATTGTAGTCATGGCACACAAATTTCTACACTACTCAATTTAAGATTTTACACTGCTTTTGAATGATAAAGGCAGGGCAACATTGCTTCAAAAAAGTTTGCAAAAAGGGTTAAGTGCTTTATGATCAATAATCTTGATCAATGCCTGTTACAGAACCTCAGTTATTGTTCCAGTCACAAGTGGATTACACTGATTCCTTGGAGAGTTTACGTTCAAGCTTCTGCCGTGGATTTTGCACCAAAACTTGAGCAGAACCTCATCTTGGAGCAGTGTCTGATGTTTTGTCACCGTGGTTCCCTCATTGTGTCATCAATGGAAATTTCTGTGATTCGTGTCACATTTGCCTGAATGTAAATGCAGAACGACCATAGGTGTTGCAGCACACTGAACAGTGTACAGTGCCTGCTTAGCACTCGATAAAATGATATACCACAGAAGGACACTATTCAGTCCATCATTATCATGTTAGCTCTCTAAAAGAGCTGTGCAATTGGGTTCATTTATCTTTCCCATTGACCCATAGGTATTGAGGTTGGTTGGCTTGCCGAGCTGGCTTGTTGTTTCGCAGACGTTTCGTTACCATGCTTGGTAACATCCTCAGTGCAGCCTCCGATGAAGCGTTGGTGTGTTTTCACGCCTGGTTTTTAAACTCTGGAGTCCGCTGAGCTGGATTGCCTCACTTCCGGTTTTCCTTCGTAGCGGAGTGTATATGGGGTCGTGTTCTATGTGTTTATTAAAAGCATGCTTTGTGGAGTGCCAGGCTTCTAGGAATTCCTGTGCCTGTCTCTGCTTAGCTTGTCCCAGGATTTTGGTGTTGTAGCCAGTCGAAATTGGTGGTTCTCCTTATCCATGTGAATTGAGATGAGTAAGTATTGGTCGTGTCTTTTTGTAACCAGTTGGTGTTCGTGTACCCTTGTTGTTAGTTTCCTTCCTGTTTGTCTGATGTAGTGTTTCTCAGTCTCTGCAGGGGATCTTGTAGATGACCTTGGTCCTGTCCGTGGTGGGGAGTGGGTCTTTAGTTCGGGTGAGCAGTTGTCGTAGAGTTGATGTGGGTTTGTGTGCCTCTCTGATGCCCAGCGGTTGTAGGAGTCTTGTTGTTAGTTCCGATGTGTTCCGGATGTAGGGTAGTGTGACGTGTGTGTCGGGGCGTGTAGTATCTTCCTGATGTCTGCGAAACAACAAACCAGCTTGCCGAGCCAACCAACCTGAGCTACAAATCTATTCCAAAACCTTAGACCTATAGGTATCTCTGTTCAAAGTGCTTAGACATTTCTCTTTTGAAAGTCGCTATTGAATCAGCTTCCACCATCCTTTGTTGGTTATACGTTTCAGATCGTAACAATTAGCTGTTTTTTAAAAGGATTCTAATTTCTCTAGAATTTCCTGTCTAACAAAAAATTCAGCTCTCAGGTTTTAGCATAAGATGGCAGTAATATTGGAGATAATTGCAGCTGCTAGATTGGTTGATTATTCACAGAAACTGTTATCTATCTGAAGGTCTCAGTAAAGGGGCATTTGGCTGAAGTACATTTCATTTTTACTGATAGCAGACCGTGTATTTGGATGTTGGGACACAGACAACTTGTTCACTTATTTCACATTTCTTTACATTTCCAGGAGCATCATCCTCCAGTTGAGAATTACTATCTAACTGCCGAGAGTGGGATGGGAACTCGTAAACGGAAATCATCTGGAGATGATTCTGATCCAAGAAAGTGTAGAAAAAGTTGAGGTTCTTTAAAGTTTGTAAATTACTTTTCTGATAAACTCCATTAATATTGCTCATCTAAGAAAGGACAGATTTTTCTGCCTCCACATTCAGGCGCTATGATAAATTCAGTGTATTTGTCAATGGGGTATTCAGAAGCTCAAGAACTTCGAACTGATTTATAAAATCAGGCATCTTATTTTTGGCACTGTAAGGTGCATGTTAGCCAATTAAAACACAAAGATCCTTCCTTAAATATTTTTCAGTCTCTTGGGTTTGCTATTAAAGCAGAAGATAAATATTTGACTTTTTTTGATAGTATTTTAAATAAATATATTTGCCTAGAAAAGGTTGGTGTCGGACTGAACTGGTATTACAGTATCTCTTTCTCCCTTAAACCTTTGTACTTTAAGTCTCTGCCTGTTCTTAAAGTGGTGACTTGCATCACCTAAAACATGATTTCACCACTATAAATGATTTTCCTTCTGCTGCTCTTGGATGTTGAAATATATTAGGAATTGCAAAACTCGGAAAAGCCAACAAGTAGCTGACGCCTTGAATGTTCATCACATGTACAATTGCAACAAGTTTTGAGTAAGTTAAATTCTTTTTTGACATATTGGACTCCAGAATTTTTATTAAGATTTCGGGATCATATTTTGCAAGTCATTTTGTTTTTCTGTGCAAACTGGAACCTTACATGACTTCTTGGTTGCTGAAATAGAGTCCTAAAGATGGACCCTCATGAGATATTTAGTCTTTAT